CTTCGGGTAAAGCCTCACCACTCATCCCCATGATAAAGTTAGCCGGCGATCAACGGCCCAAAACCTCAATTTCTAACCCGAACCAGCAATTCCCAAAGCCGCCTAATGCCTAAAATGAAAACCCTGACGCCTAAACCTCAAGGCCCTGGCCCCTAAAGAAACCCTCAAAGAAACCCCTAAAGGCACCCTTAAGGAGTTCCTGCCTCTCAAAGATAAGGGTGCCGGTCTCACTAAGGCTACTATTCTGTTCTAATGAGGGAACCCAACAAGAACCCTAAACCCCAAACCCTGAACCCTAAAGCCTTGACCCTAAACCCAGAACCCCAAACCCTAAACCATAAACCCGAAATCCTAGAACCTGAATCCTTAAAGGATCTCCTTACTTAAAGGCTCATGGGACTTAGTAAGTAAGGTTATAAGTAGCTTATAATTAGGATAACCCCACTTAGGGGACTTATAACCCCACTTATAACCTACTTACTAAGTCGCATGATCCTCTAAGTACCTCCATGACGAAGTTCGAGATGGAGGCCAGGTAGCTGCGCACCTCCGCAAAGGACGACAGCACCTGGCTTTGGGTTTAGGATTTAGGGTTAAACCCTAAACCCCTAAACCCTAAACCCTAAACCCTATCCACAAGGGGCTCCTTTTTGAGGGTTTAGGGGGGAGGATTGCTTTCAGGTTTTTTTTGAGGATTGCTTCAGGGGTTTAGGGTTAAGGATTCCGGGATTGGGATTTCGGGGGTTCAGGGTTTAGGGTCTAGGGCTAAGTGGTTGGGCTTTACAGGGTTTAGGCTTGAGGGTTAAAGGGAAGGGTTCCTTTCAAGGTTCCTTTTGGGATTCCTTCAGAGGTTCCTTTTAATTTCGAGTTCTTTTGAGGGCTCCTTTAAGGGCTTTAGCCGGATGTGGGGTGTAGGGTGTTTAGGGATTCGGGGAATTGGAAGGCCGAGGTCTGGCCAAAGCCTACTTAGAGGATCATGGGACTTAGTAAGTAGGTTATAAATGGGGTTATAAGTTCCCGAAGTGGGGTTATCCTAATTATAACCTACTTATAACCTTACTTACTAAGTCCCAGGAGCCTTTAAGTACTGGTAGGCTCCCATACCTGGACCCTTTTGGGGTTTAGGGTTTCCTAATTTGTTTTCCTTGTATGATTCCTTACGAAAGTAGGTTAACTATTTGGGTCCAGGCAGGGGATCAACCTTGTTTCTGGTGGCAAGAGATGTTCGCACCAGGTCATTTTAAAAAATCAGTACGCCCTAAACTTTATGGCAAGAGACAAGGGTGCAGTGCAACCGATGTAGGAAAGGCAAGGCAGACACACGAGATGCTGCAATGAAGACTTTCCGGGGTCATCCGGCAAGACTAGAACGATGCTGAGAGGGTCAGTGTGACGGTTGCCCTAAACCCTGAACCCTAAGCCCAACCGGCAAAAGATCTTGTGCCTGGGCGGCCAGAAAACGGCGCACTGCAGCCTCCGCGCCCGAGCCACCGTTTCGAAGAAGCAGCGAAGAAGCAGCCACAAGGACCTGACAGGATCCACCCTTTGAGGATTCCTTGAGAAAATTGATGGATCCCCGAAACCCTAAAATCCTAAACCCTAAACCCTGGAATGGATCTTTGTGGATTCCTTGAAAAAGAAACTGTCAGGCAGGGCTCCTTAAGAAGTGATCCAGAAGGACTCCTCTATCCATCAGGGTTTCTTTTCGAGGGATCTGCAAAGGTTCAGGGTTTAGGGTTCAGGTTTTAGGGTTTAGACGGGATCTAAAATAGTTGCCTCAGAGGGGGCTCTTTTTAGTTACATTGCTTTATGGTCCGAATTTAAGTATGCTAGTGCACCCGATCCTGAACCCTAAAACCCTGAAGCCCTGTTAGAATGAGTAACGCCCCTAGTTTTTTACCCAAGGGCATGGCATGGTATAGAGGCTGTGCGAGCCGAGCCACTCTGCAATCGCAGAATCGAATGTTGATTCTTACTTAGAGGGTCGCGGGACTTAGTAAGTAGCTATCTTGTAGACTTCCTATAAGCATCATAACCCCAATTAGGATCGTGTTCAGGGTGTTTATAACTTATAACTCTACTTGCTATTACCTACTTTCTAAGTCCCCTGACCCTCCAAGTATGGCCGAGGAAGCAGCGAGAAGCACAAGACGATGTTGCAACACTAGCAGTAGCTAGCAACTAGCAGCTACAGAGGTCATAAACAAGGGTAGACTAACACGGGCACTAGCAAGAGCAAGAGCCGCTTGCCAACATGACCCCGACCCTGAACCTCCTACTTGTCGGGTATCATGGGTAACGAAAGGTTAGCCTTTTTGGTTTAAGGGATAATACAGGGACTCTACTCCCCAAAAAAGGTTAAAGGTTGCCCACTCTACTACTAGGACCTTAACCCAGACCCCCGGGAGTATCTAGAAAGTAGATCCCTTCATGGGGATTCCTAGAAAGTACCCTTAGTAGTATAGGGCGGTCTGGGAATTACCAGACCCCGAACTAAACTGCGACACCCCGTCGCCTACTCCAGAACCCTACGGCCCTCGAATTTGACCCTGAACTTACCCGTGGTTAGTAGGGAATTAGAATAGGGTTCCTTTAGAGGGATCTATAAGGGCTACTATAACTACCACAAGGGTTAGTAACCAAAGGTAAGTAAAACCCTGAACCCGAAATCCGAAGACCCCGTCACCTCCTCCGTCATGTCATCTCGGCCGTGGCCGTGCAGGTTCGCGCATGAGTTCATGTGGGACACCTGGCGGGGGCATCAATAGACTCAACACATGCAGCCGGGCGGATAGATAAGCAGATACGGCCTAAACCCTAAACCCTAAACCCTAAAACCCTAAAACCCTAAACCCTAAACCCTAAACCCCAAATCCTACAACATAAACCTTGATCCCCTAAGCCCCGCAACTCTTTAGGTGAAACGACACATTCCTTTGTACGGCAAGGAGCTTCTCTCGGAACGTTTCCCTGAAAAATCGTACGCTTGAACAACAATATATGATATGACCGCAAATATCTCTGTAGGGCCCTTTATCAACACAGCTGGGTTACTCTAGGTATAAAGGGTTTAGTGTTTTTTGGTACCTGCTAGGCCAAACTTCTGGAGACTGCTAGGCAAGGAGGAGTTCGGCTTTTGGCTAGAGTTATATAAATCCTGCATTACCTTAAGGACCCTAAACTATGGGAATTATGGTATATTCCTTACAATGCAGGATTTATATCCTAAACCCTAAACCCCCATCGATCCCTTAACGCAGCCCCTTAAAGGTACCCTTGTGATCCCTTTAAAGGAACCCAGGATTTATATCATCAATCGTAGGAAAGGGGGAGGGAAGCAAAAGGAGCGTGCCACCTCTGCTCTGGTCGATGATTTCGGGCTTAGTCTTCAGGGTTTCGGGTTTGGGGCTCCTGATTTGCAATAGGGTTTATGGATTAAGGTTTAGGACTAGGACTTAAAACTTAGGCTTTCGGGTTTAGGGTTTAGGACTAGGACTTGAAACTTAGGCTTTAGGGTTTAGGGTTTAGGACCAGGACTAGGACTTAAAACTTAGAGCTTAGGGTTTAGGGTTGGCCAACCTCTTGGCAAAGAGCGGTGAGGATTCCTCGTGCCTCCTCGCGAGCGGCAGGCTACAACAAAGACGCGAGATTTCAGGAGTAATATATAGAGGCCTTAATAACTAGAATAGGGGTTCATTCACAGGGTTCCTTAAAGGGATACTATAAGGGATCTATAGCAAGGTTTTATAATATAGGGGCCAAAATAATTAGAATTGGGTTTTGGGGCCCATTGTACTATAATTCCAAAAAGGAACCTCCAAAATAGTATTGGAACTTTTTCGAAAACAGTATTGGTAATGATTTGGGCCCCTATCTTACACTGGCTTCACTACCCTGGTAATGTAGGGACCATAGTCGTCAGAATAGGCTGTCAGGTATTATGAGTAGTATTTTAAAAAGTTAGTAGTATTACAAAAATAACAACAACAGTACTGCTTATAATAATGATATTAAGGAACCCCAGGGACAGTTTGTCAGGCTTCAAAAACACCTGTAGCCTCCCGCTTCGAAAGATGCAGCTCTTCTACTGACTCAGAGCTACTTAAAGACTTAAAGGATCAGGGGACTTAGTAAGTAGGGTTATAAGTAAGGTAACTATACTTATAAGTACTTATAGCCCCAACTAGGGAACATATAGCCTTACTTACTAGGTCCCACGATCCTCCAAGTAGGGCTTGGGGTTTGGAGTCTGGCAGCCTGGTCCGCGAAGCACCCAGAACTAATGCCTGAAGGGCCCACAGCGAAAAACCTGAACTGCAAATGCCAAAAGGTTACAAGCGGTTTAGGGTTTAAGATTTACGGCTTAGGGTTTAGGGTTTAGGCCCTTCAGACCCATGAGGAAGTACATCATCTAATAACCTTTTGGCTATCGAGTCTGACCAGCTCTATCCTACTTGTCCAGGATCCTAGGCTTAGGGTAAACCTCTAAGGATGTGGTTTGGTTGTAATACCCAGAAACGGTCAAAGGTTACCTATTCTAGGGAACAGCAAGGAAACTCCTGCAGACCCCACGCCCGCAATCAAGCGGCCAGGGTACCGACTCTCAAATTTCATAAGAACTTCCGCAACCCTGAAACCTTGAGACCCTCAAAGCTGCGAACCAAACCATCACAAAACTCTGGTTTAGGGTTTAAGCCAAGTACGGTTTAGGATTAGGGGGAGTAAGACCCTTTCGGCCACGTCAGTGGCATCCAGAGACAAGCTCAAGCAGTCTGCTCTCTTTGTCAATGCTCCCACCTCCAGCGCTCAATCTTTGCAATTTGACATGCACTCTGCGGCATCTGCGACACCGCATGAGCCCACCACCGGCGCTCAATGCATGCAGATCGATCCGATCATGTAAGCTTCGCAACGTTCGCTCTACCAACTCTACCATAGCTGCATCTGGATGCCGCCAATGATTCAAACACCTTGCCAGCACCCCCCCTCCCCCACCCAAACTACTTCAAGCCATCGAAGAAGAACACCTTGCGCTGGTCGTGCCACCACCAGAGATGACCCTCGTGGCTTTCAAAGGGAACCCAGCCCCTCTCATAGCTACTCTGCGCAAAGAAGCAGTCGTCAGTATGCTCGTTGTGGAACCAGATCTCTGCGTTGACCGGGTGCTTGTACTTCACCCAGCCTCGCTCGTACTCGACGCCACGCTGAACCTATACTGAACTTAGAACCCTAGCAAAAATTTTAATTTTAGCTGTTTCTTAGGGATTATAATAACCAAAAAATATAGAAACAATTACTAAGTACCCCTAAGGAACCTGGAAAGGGAGCGCGCCTTTTGTCTCCACATCCTGAGATGGTGCTCTCAGCATTGAAGCTGCTGCCAGAGATTGTGAAGTGCTAGACTGCAGTGGAACCGAATCTTCTGAACCATCGTGCTCCACATCCGTAAAGGCTGGAGGAGCCCAGCTGTCAATGGCAGCCACCTGTGGCTCTTCAACATCGCTCTCGCGGTTTCGGACGATGACAAAATCATGATTCTTCTCACCGTGCATGTGGGAGTTCTTGAATTCAGCAATTTCATGAGCGTTGTGCTGCGCCACAATAGCTTCACTTCCTGGGTAGCTCAACCAATCAAGCGCTGAAGTTGCTGCCCTGGATGTTGCAGCACAAGGTTGCGGCGGACCTGGCTGTACCGAGCCATCCTGCGCCCCATCTATGAAAGCTAAAAGATCCCGGCTGTCAACATCAGCTGCCGGCTCTTCAACACTGCCCCTGCTGCTTCGGGCCATGGCAGGATCATGATTATGTTCATCCTGCATGTGCTCGCGCGCGTTTTTGAGATGAGTGGTGCCATACGTGTTGTGCTCCAGCACCACAGCTTCGCTTGCTTCGCAGCCCGACCAATTCCCCGGTGCCAGATCCACTGCTGGATGAAGCTGCGCCGTCGTCTTGACCATTGCATCAGAGCTCTGCATCCCAAATTGGAGGTCATCACCTTCACCTTCCGGCTGATTCCTCCGGCTGCACAACAGCGACGGTAGAGGGTCTTCACCAGAACCAGCGTCCTCTGTCGGCATCGCGCTAGGGCAAAGCATGGGGACAAACTCCTCGGCGTCAAGGCGGAGCCCTTGCCGGGCCAAGTCGACCTCGGCTTGTGCCCAGAGAGCCATGGACATTGCCAAGGGGACAAACTCCAAGGCGCCACTGCGCATCCTCTGCCTTGGCTGGCCCATGGGTACCTGGGCTTTTAAGTAACCAGGGATAAAAAAGTATAAACCTTTATTTCATGATGGTTCCTTAAAGAAAAAAGGATTAAAGTATGGTACTCCAAAGCCCAGGTACTTGTGACGGCGAAGGCCCGGGATGGTCTTGAACAAATCCCGGCGGCAGCGGCTCTGGCCAGCTGTTCCAGTACGGCCACTGCGGAGTGGATGCCATGTCACCCTTGTCCTTTTAGAAATAATAGACAGAGCCCTATACCTATATCCCTCAGCAGGGTCTTCTTAGCCGGTCTGTTTATTCTTTTGGGGGGAACCATGAAAAAGGACAAGGCTGTGCCATGTTTTCTAGCACAGCGTGCGACGGGCCATGCACTGGTGCACGTGCACGCAAATGAGCCTGACAGCTTCTGCATTTGGAGGTCTATACTCCCCGGCTCTTATAGGAACCACAGTATACGAATGGTGAGTGGACAAGACATATCGGGTGCCTGCACGAACGAAAAGCCGCTGGTGTTAGCCCCTGAAAACAACTAAACCCTAAACCCCAAAAAACAAATGCTTCGGACATCCAGTCTGTCATCCCAGGCCACTGAATGAAGCCGTGACTGATGCTTGATGCCTGGGAACGGCCTAATGTATAGAGGCTTTGGCATGTGGTTTAGAGCTTGGGGGTTATTATATCATACTCTACTTGTACAAAGGACAAGTGAGTGTTATTAGTTTTGGTTCAGACGCTTCTATTAACAGCTCCCAGGTTCAAGAAAGCCAGAGCTTCCATTCTGAGCTTGCTGAGCATGAAGCCACATGCCGACTCTCGTCACGAAGGTCAAACGGCTTATTAGTACAACTCTACAAGCTCGAAACCACCGTCCTCGGACTGGTCCCGAATTGCCCGCGCCATAGCAATCGCCTCGCCTGCAGTCGCAGCGGCGCCACTATGTAGGGTTTGGGATTTAATCAGGGTGTAGGGAAGTGTCAGAGTATCGAAAAGCCACACCGTGCAGAGCTTCGGCGTTCGAGCTTTAGGTTTGGGGATTTCGGTAAACCCTGAACCCTGCTTGAGTTGTGGGCCGCAGAAAGTTTTCTCCTCGGCATTGTGAATTAAGCTCGGGAATTTCACCGACACCTAAGAAAGAGAATCTGGCGTTTAGTGTTCATGGTCCAGGGTTTAGCAAGAAAGTGAATAAAGGATTAAGGGTCCTAAACCCTAAAACCTAAACCGAGTTTAGGCGATGAATGTATCATGTTGGCCACGGTGTCTGCGACAAGTCTGAGGAAGGTGCATAAGGAAAACATGACACGCGATAATCAAGGTACTTTACACATTTTCACACAGCACCTATCAAGCACGGCGCTGAACAAAGAGAAGCATTCTTGAAGAACAGAGTTGCGCCCGTAGTGAGCGAACCCCTGCAGTTATCACAAATCCTGAAACCCTAGAGTGCCGAGAGAGAGCCTTCAGGGGGCACTAAACCCGAAACCGTAAACCGGAAACCCGACCCTAAACCCTAAGCCCTACACTACCCCTAAAGCAACCTCCTCAGAGAAACCCAAAACCCGAAACCCCCAACCCTAAAACCCTGCAGCACCCCTACGGTAAAGGAACCCGTCCAGAAAATCTACATCCCAAACCCAAAACACCCAAACCCTTCAAGAACTTGTAGGACTTCGTACAGAACCTCTTATAAAACTTCTTGTAGAACTTCTTATGGAGCTTCTTATAGAACCCTGGTTGTAGTTACAGTGCAACTTCCCCCGGGATGCCTCCGAGCTCGGAGGTCCCCATGGAGCCATGGTCAGGCGCCGGAGCCTGTAACTAGGGCTCTCCTTTAGGGGGATCCTTACTTAAAGGGTCATGGGACTTAGTAACTAGGGTTATAATTAAGGTAACTATACTTATAACCCCAATTAAGGTACTTATAACCTTACTTACTAAGTCCCATGATCCTCCAAGTAATGGTCAAGGGTTCAGGGTTTAGGGATCTATAATTAAGGGTACTATAAAGGGGACTCTATGGTTCATGATATAAATCCTGCATTAAATTAAGGACCCTAAACTATGGGAATGATGGTGTATTCCTTATTATGGGTAATGCAGGATTCATATCATCAACAGTATAAGGGGGCTGCAGGGGTAGTATAGGGCTGTACGGTTTAGGGTTCTATAGGGTGTAGGGTTTAGCGTTAAGGGGACTACAAGGGTACTGTGTTTAGGGTTAAGGGGACTGCAGGGGTGGGGGTTTAGGGCCAGAGGTTCAGGCACAGATTTTGGGGTTTCTAAAAATCAGAAGTTCCTGCAAGAGTTCCTATTAGAAGTTCGGGCTTCGGTATTAGGGACTAGATCTGCGTTTCGGGGGTAGATTGTCGTATGATTCTATAGGCACTATAGGGCATACTGTTGCTGATTATTCCGGCAGATGTGGAAGGGATTCCAGTTCAGGTTTAGACTTCAGGGTTTGGGCTCATGTCTTAGGTCATGGTTTTTTGGGGTACAGTTCAGGGGTTAGAATTGTGGTGGTGGTGGTGGTGGTGGTGGTGGTGGTGGTGGTGGCGGTGGTGCCGGTGGTGGCGGGGGTGGTGGCGGGGGTGGTGGCGGGGGTGGTGGCGGTGGCGGTGGTGGTCCTCGTCGCTTCTTGCGATCATGTCCCTCCAGCAACGCTTGCACTTTAGTTGCAGCGAACTTGCAGAGCAAGTCATCCCGGCATCAGAAGCTCTCTCTTCAAGCTCTTAATTCATGCCAAGGTTCACTTCGTGCTGCGGGCAGCTCCTGCGCAAAGAGCATCAGAACTGTCATGTAAAGCTCCGGCACTGCTAAATCAGGCCCTGGTGGCGAGGGTCGGCAGTAATCGGCACCATCAGATGCTTGGAGGGTCGGGGGACTTAGTAAGTAGGTAGTAAGTAGACTTATAAGTACCCTAAAAGGGACCCTAATTGGGGTTATGGTACTTATAAGTCCCTAAAATAACCACTTACTAAGTCCCCCGACCCTCCAAGTGGCATGCTCAAGCAGTCTGCTCCCTTTGTCAATGCTCCCACCTCCAGCGCCTAATCTGCGCGATTTGACATGCACTCTGCAGCATCTGTGACGCTGCATGGGCCTATACCCCTGGCGCGCACTGCAGGCGCGTCGATCCGATCATTTAAAATTCACAGTTTTCGCTCTACCGTAGCTTCATCGTAATGCTGCCAATGATTCAAAGACCTTGCAGTCCCCCTCAACTACTTCAGGTCCTCGAAAAAGAACACTTTGCGCTGGCCTTGCCACCACCACAGCTGACCCTGGTGGCTTTCAAAGGGAAGCCAGCCCCGCTCATCGCTGTTCTTCGCAAAGAAATGGTCGTCAGTGCGTTCATTGTGGAACCATATCTCTGCAGTGATTGGATGCTTGTACTTGACCCAACCTCGCTCGTACTCGATACCCAACTCAACCTGAAAGGGGAGAGCGCCATCTGGATCCGCATTCTGAGACGGTGCTCTCGGCGCTGAAGTTACTGCCGGAGATGTTGCAGGACTAGACCGCAGTGGCCTCGGATCTGCCGAAGCATCGTGTGCCACATCCGTGAAAGCTGGGGGAGCCCAGCTGTCGCCATCAGCCACCGGCGGCTCTTCAACACTGCTCTGGGTGTTTCGGGCAATGGCAGGATGGGAGTATTGAGTCTTGCGCTCCACCACAGCTTCAATTTCTGGACAGTCCAACCAGTCGAGCGCTGAAGATACTGCCCGAGATGTTACAGGACTAGTCTGCGGTGGACCTGGCTCTACTGAACCATTCTGTGCCGCACCTGTTAAAGCTGGAGGAACCCGGCTGTCAACATCAGTCACCTGCGGCTCTTCAACGCTGCTCTGGCTATTCCGGGCGATGGCTGGATCATATTTCCTTTTGATCGTGCATGGGGGAGCAATTGAATTCCCACTCTGCAGCTCTGGCACGGGCGCATCACCGGCACCGTCTGCCTACCAGGGCAGGGCAGTTCAAGAACAAGAGAGACAAGGGAAAGGACCTGCACTGACTATAGTGACTATAACAATTTCTGGCATTACGCAAGCTTGTCGCAACTGCTCCTAATATTGAGACGCAAACCTATCATGGTTCGTACTACTGCCACTGCCGCAACTGATGTCGTTTCGACGACGACGACGACGAAAACGACCACGACCAAGACCACAACTAACACTGGGACTGGCACTTGCTCTGGCTCTGGCACCAGTCCAACACTGGCATAAGCGCCAGCACCCGTACCAGCATGTACACCATCCCTACTGCTGCTGCCGCTGCTGCTGATGCTGTTGCTGCTGATGCTGTTGCGGCTGTTGTTGTTGTTGCTGCTGTTGTTGTTGTTGTTGTTGCAGCTGCTGTTGTTGTTGTTGTTGCTGAAGCTGTTGCTGAAGCTGTTGCTGTTGTTGTTGTTGCTGCTGTTGTTGCCGTTGCTGTTGCTGTTGCTGTTGCTGTTGCTGTTGCTGTTGCTGTTGCTGTTGCTGCTGTTGCTGTTGCTGTTGCTGTTGCTGTTGCTGCTACTGCTACTGCTACTGCTACTGCTACTGCTACTGCTACTGCTACTACTACTGCTGGTGCTGGTGCTGGTGCTGGTGCTGGTGCTGGTGCTGGTGCTGGTGCTGGTGCTGGTGCTGGTGCTGTTGCTGTCTCTGTTGCTGTCTCTGTTGATGTTGTCGTGGTTGTTGTTGTTGTTGTTGCCGTTGCCGCTGCCGCTTCCGCTGCCGTTGCTGGTCTGGTGCTGGTGCCGGAGCTATGCTGGGTGCTGGTGCCGGGTGCTGGGTGCTGCCGCTGCTGCTGCCGCTGCTACGGCTGCTGCGCTGTTGCTGTTGCGGTTGCTGTTGCGGTTGCTGTCGCTGGTGCCGCTGCTGCTGTTTTTGTTTTGCTGTTGTTGCTGCGTGTCTTGACTTGGACTTTTGGCCCCTCTCCCCGTGCCTGCAAGGTCCTCGCATTCTCGGTCTTGCAACTTCTGGACTGGGCTGTCACCTCAACAGCATCCAATGCCTGCAAGCCCCATTCCTCAGCTGGCAGACAAGAGACCTCTTGTGGCTTGGCACCTTTCCTTTTCAAGGGAGCATTGATAAGTCGTCTCAATGCTCTCTTCCGCGGCGTTGTCTGCATCCCAAATTGAATGCCATCATCAACTTCCGGCTGACTTGCCTCCACCTGCACGCCGCCAACAGCAACGGAGCCTTCACTGCAGCTGGGGCCTGCTCCCACTGGTGCAGAAGGGCCCGGAAAGACAGGCGTGGGGAAAAACTCCGGGGCATCAAGGCGGAGCCCTTGCTGGCTCATGTCAGCCTCCGCTTGCGTCGGCAAAGGCGTGGGATGTCCTTGAACATACCCGCGAGGCAAAGGCAGTTGAACCCACCCCGGGGGCAGGAACACTGAAAACCAATACCCGTACGCCGACTCGGTAGTGGATGCCAT